GCTTCCCGGTGACCGGTTGCAACGAGACAAAGAGCAAATTCTGCGAGGATCTGCATGCCCTCCTGTCGACCGTGCCGAAGGCAAACATGTTGATTGTCCTTACTGACTTCAACGCTCGCGTCGGCACAGACCGTACTGCCTAGAGACGGATGCTGGGCCATCGCGGGCTCAAAGATTTCAATGGCAATAACCTACTCCTCCTGAGAACCTGCACAGAGCACCGTCTCATCCTGACCAACACATACTGTCGACCTCCGCTGCGACGGAAGGCGACATAGATGCATCTCCGGTCCTGGTACTGGCACTTACCAGAATATTACTTTGGCCAGCGGTGTGACTAATAGGATGTACTGGTGACAGGCGATCCCGAGTGCCTACGGATGGACCGATCATCGCCTGGTTATCGCCTAGATGAGGACTTGACTTCAACCACACAGGATACGTTACGGTAAGTGACCCTCGATTAAGTTTAATACTTTTTCGTTTAATCTACCTACTCAGCGCTGACGCAACTACCTATTCAGTAACAAGACACAAATTCCGAAACACTAGGCTGAACATTTCCAAGGCTTCCTCGACCGCTTCCTAACCAACACCGACTGTCCAAAGCCGGATCCAACGCCAAGAAACCGTCAGGGCAATGCAGCAACTCTCCTTTGGAAAATTACCATAATCGGACTCGACCACTGCTGGGATTTATAAGTACGGCGGCCCCAACCTTATGAATCACCTAAAAACGCTGTACCAGGAGGTATGACACCAGGGACAAGTCGCCCGGAATCTTAAGTTCACCGCAATAGTTCACATATACAGGTAGAACAGGGACCGTTAGTTCTGTGACAATCACCTAGGAATCGCATTGCTCAACATCGCCAGAAAAATTCTTCGTCCGCCTCAAAAACCCTCTGAGCAGGGACTCACACCTGAAATCCAGTTCAGGTTCCACTGTTATCGCGGCACCAACATGATCTTTGCCATACGTCAGCTGCAGGGTAAGAGCCAAGAGATATGAGCTTACCTCTAGTCGACCTTATTGGACCTCCCAGAGGCCTTCGACACGGTGGATCACGACGGACTGTGGGAAGTTATGCAGAAATTCAGCTGCCGGGTGCTTTTCACTCACATGGTGTTTCAGCTCCACGGCGGGCTGAGAGCGCGCGTTAGTACCAACGGGACGCTATCCGAAACTTCTGTAGTTACTAAAGACGTGAAGTGGAGCTGCATCTTCCCACCTGCTCGCTTCAGTCTCCCATTCTCTGTCATGCTGATGGAGGCTTACCATGGTAAAGCCCCTGGGAGCCGCATCGAATACAGAACGGATGGACCCCTTCTACAAATCTGGCGTTTGAAAGCTGCAACGCGCATAGCTACGACCGCAGTCTATTATCTGCTCTACGCAGATAACTGCGCCCTAAACACCACGGTAGAACAGGTGATGCAAAGAAGCATGGGCTTCTTCGCTGTCGGCTGCACTAACTTTGGATTCACCCAAAACACGTAAAAAACGGCGGTCAGGCAATGGTCTTCGAATAAATGTCATCGGCAC